GTTCGCAGGGTCGGAGAGCACCTGGAGCCACAGGGCTTTTGCGTCCCACAGGGAGACCTGGGCAGTGGCTGGACAAGAGGGGACCGGGTTATTCCCGAAGCCACGGTACCCACTGCTGCTGCACAGATGTTTATGGAACGTCAGAGCCAGAACCCGGAGGGTCTGGCTGTGAGCTCGGGCTGTGGGGTCAGATTCCCTAAGTTCGAATCCCAGCTCTGCCATTTACTGAGTGTGCAGGCTGAAGTGTGTCCCCTAAAATAAATATGTTGCAGTCCTCACCCCGGCTACCTGGGAGTGTGACCTTATTTGGAGACAGGGTCTTTACAGAGGTGATCAAGTTAAAATGAGGTCGTTGGGGTGCCCTTGCGAATCCAACATGACTGGTGTCTTCAGAAAGAGGGAGATTTGGACACGGACCGCCACGTGAAGACTGGAGTTACGGTGCCACAGCCCAGGAAACACCAGGAGCTCGGAGGGGGGCCTGGAGCCTCCCCTGGGCCTTCAGAGGGCACGTGGCCCCGCCGACACCTTGAATGCAAGCTCCCATGAGCAATAAATTCCTGTCGTCCTAAGCCACCAGTTTATGGCACTTAGTTACAGCAGCCATAGCAAACTAACACACCAGGAGGGTCTTGGTAGCCTTGTTGAGCCTCCGTTTCCTCTTTTGCTACAGATAAGGCTGCTGTCATAGACCTGCCTCTGAGCCAGCCTGAAAGGCTGGATGCACGTGGTGCTTAATAATCGGCATCCTCTGCCCTGCAGGGACCAGGGTCTAGGCTCGGGCTGTGCTCCCCGTCCCAGGGTCCTGAAGGGACACGGGCGTCCTGGACGACATCCCGATGGCGACTGCACCGACAGAACCCCTCGCTCAGCCCAGACGCCACCCAGTAACTTCAGATCCTCAATCCAGCTCCGAGAAACGGCCGAGCTCGTGGCTGGGAACGTGAATTCTGGAGCCAAACTTCCCCGCCTGCTGCGTGTTTGACTAGGGCTGCCCGCAGGACTCTTCTCCCGGGGTGGGTATGAGGAGCACAGGAGTCCGTATGCGGACGGCAGCTATGCTCACCAGGACACCACCAACGCGGGAGTCAATATTTGAATGGGCTCAGAACAGTGTCTGGAGCTTCGTAGGTGCTATGTACGAGTTTGTTAAACAACATTGAAACGAGAATCTGCTTAACCCCATCGAATAACCACCACTCTTCGTTCACAGCAGAGAATATGTTCATCCAAGAACTTGTGCACAAATGTTTATAGCAGCATTATTCATAATAGCTAAAAAATTGAAAACAACTTAAATGTCCATCAGCTGATAAATGAATACATAAAATGTGATATGTTCCTATACTACGAAATAGTATTTGGCCCTAAAAAGGAATGAAGCGCCTATACACGCTACGATGTGGATGAACCTTGAAAATGTTACGCTCAGGGGTACGCGCTTATCCCAGACTCATTGAGACGTGTAGCTCTTTATATGTCGATCACACCTCCGTAAAGGGGTTTTTAAAAAACATATCGTAGTGAGAGAAGCCAGACACTGAAGGCCACAAACTGTACGAGTCCATCCATATGCAACTTCCAGAATAGGTAAATCCACAGAAACAGAGAGCAGCTTAGTGGTTGTCTGGGGTGGGGCAGGGGTCGGGGGCAGGTCAGGGGAACGCAGTGAGATTAGGGGGTCATGGCTAAAGGGTATGACATGGGGTTTCTTTTTGGGGTCATAAAAATGTTCTGAAATTGACTGTGGTGACGGCTGCACAGCTCCGTAGCTGTATTAGAACAAAACCCGTTGACGGGTGTCCTTCCAGTGCATGAAGTACGTGATAAGTGAGTTAGATCTCAATAAAGCAATCACCCCTCCAACCCTGGATACGGCTGCTGAAGCCGCCTGAATCATCTTAGTTGTTTCTCTGTTTACCAAGATGATACAAGCGCGTTGTTTGGAATCAAACGATACAGAATGCTGTCAAGAAAGAAGAACACGAAGATGCCCCAGAATCCCACCCTTTAGAAGCAGAATTCACACGAAGGGATTTGGAGAGAGATGCCCATTCATTCGATTAGATAAATTTTTAAAGTGAAAAATTAATTTAAAAAGAATTTTTAAGTTGGGTCTAGAAAGGTTGCCTCAAAGTGCTATTTTATGATCAATTCCACAAGCCCAATTTCAGCCATTTGTGTCATCGCGGGTGGACTATTGGAGAAGCAAGGGGCACTTTGACTCTCAAGGCAGTTTTGTTAAATGGAAAAACCAAAAGGCCAGCTCCTCCGGTCACTCGGTCACTCGGATGCAGTGAAAATAGCTGAGTTCATCCAAAACTTCCCCGGCATCTGACCCAAACTGAGGGCAAGTGTTCAGCTGAGAAACAAAGACGGACATTAAGTATAGAAAACCCCTTTTGTGCCTACACAGCGCGCAAGTTATGTCGAGTTATGCAGCTATTTTGGGGACAATAATGTTTTGTAAACAGTCAGCAAAGTAGCTTTGTCTGTGGCCATGTGGCTTGGGACCATTTCACACACAGGACTGTATGGAAGGTAAGATGACACGGTCATGGCAGTCCCTTTGAAAAATATGAATGACTTAAATTAACAGATAAATATTTGAAAGTCTTTTTTTTTTTTTTTACTCCACCCACAAGCGTCTGTATGTCAACACCTAGAGACTGTTAACCGCTAAGGCAGCAAACAAGCCCTGCCTTCCTTTACGGAACACGAAGCTTACAAAATGCAGTTAACACATCCCAATGAAGGCAATGCGAGTAAGTTACCAGTTCTATTCACGTAGGCATGTAGCCCTAAGTACTACATTAGTGGGCATGGTTTTTGGGGGAGAGTTGAAGTTTTTTTGTTTGTTTTGAGACAGAGTCTCACTCTGTGGCCCTGAGTGCAGTGGCAGCTAATTTTTCTATTTTTAGTAGAGATGGGGTTTCACTCTTGCTCAAGCTGGTCTCGAACCCCTGAGCTCAAGCGATCCTCCTGTCTTGGCCTCCCAGAGTGCTAGGATTACAGGTGTGAGCCACTATGCCCAGCCTGGGCATGTCTTATTTTAAAGTACAATAATTGCAAATATTTTCGAGAACCCTAAACCTGCTAAATTAAGTTAACATGTATTAAGCCCATGCAATAGCTGGTTTTCCATTCTACAGTTATGTGTCTCAGCTCATGGCAGAGAACCATGGATTCCTAGGCTGTTCCAGAAGAGTGGGGACAGCTTCTCTCTTCTATTGAATGAATGAACAAGCCATTGAGTCTTAGAATATGTGAGCTGCCAGGAGCCTTAGACGTAGGATGATTATTTATATTTATCTGCCACTTATTGTCTGCTTGGTATGGACACACACACACACACACACACACACACACAGAATCACTTTTAATCCTCATGGCAAGCTTATGAGCTACATATAATCATCCTCATTTAACAAATGAGGAAAAGGAGGCTCAGAGAAGTTCAGCAACTTTCCAAAGACACACAGCCAGAGCACGACAGAGCAGCAGCAGGGACCCAGGGCTTCTGACTCTGTGGCCCTGGGTCTTTTCATCACCCTGTGGTGTCCCGCCCCCATTACAGAGAAGTCAAGTCACACAGCCACAGGCAAAACAATAACAGTGATAGCTAGACCTCATTGAGCACCTAATCTGCTTTACATATATTGATTCGTTTAATCCACAGCATGACGCCAGGATTTTAGAAACCAGGTGACTCTCATTTTAGAGATGGGCGTGGAGGCTCACAGAGGTGAAGCGACTTGCCCCAAAGTCACCCAACTGTGGAGCTGGGATACAACCCCAGACTGGCTCCTGCCTCTCTGTTCTCCTGGGACCATCTGCACATAACAGCGCAATGTGTAAGGATGACTTCAGTGAAGCTTTTTAACCCTTTATGCAACTATAAACACTTATGTGTGTGGATTCATAGAAGACGGGACAGGACACATGCGTGCAGAGCCACCAACGGATATGCAAGTCCTTGGGTAGAAGGCTGGGGTCAAGCCGCCAGGGGTGGGGTGGGGAGGGTGTGGTGAATTCTGGGACAGCTGTATTTTGTGAGCACCTACTGTGTGCCCAGCACACAGCCAGGAGCACCATGAATTATCTCATTTACTCCTCACCTCAACCCCACAGCATTGCCCTGCCGTGACCGAAGCTCAGAGAGCCACAGTGATGGAGCCGAGCTGGGCTCCCACATCTGCCTGGCTCCAGCACCTGCCCCTCGATGCACAGAGCACGGATCCAGGAGGCCAAGAACCTGGGAGCCAATTCTAGCCCCAAACTGACTTGCTGCACAACCTAAGTATGTCACATAGTTACTCTGAGCACCCAGACCCCCTCGCGCTCACCCCTCTCTCCTCCTGGTCTCAGCTTCCTTGAAGGGCAGGGACTGGGGGGTCTGTGTGCAGGAGGAGGGCCCTGGGGGTTGCAGCTAGAATCAAGGCTCTGGAGTCCCCTCTGCATGGATCTGAGCCCGACTCCACCTCTTCCTAGCTACAGAACTTGGTGTCATTCCTCCACCTTTCCAAGCCTCAGTTTAGTGGAGGAGAAATGGGAATAATGACAGCTATTGGAGGGAACGTCATACGTAAGGACTTAGCACTGTACATATTCAATGAGTGGCTGCTGTCATTGTCATCATCGTCATATTTACCATGATTATGATCATTACACAAAAGGACAGCAGTGGGGTGGCCCCGATCTTTGTTTTCTGTCAGGGGAGTCTAAGCTGGGAGGAGAGGCAAACTTCAACAAGGAGAAGAGAGAAAAACCTTGTGTTTTGGTCACTGGGCAGGGGCTCCAGAGGTTCTGGTAGAAGGCGGGAGGGGATGGCTGGGCCGAGGTGTCACCGGTTAGACGTCTGACCCATGAGGTCACCCGAGTAGCTCAAAAGCTCCTTCTGATCTGGAGGTCCGAGGGGATTCCTCTTCCTCCTGTTACAGCTGACCTCCTAAGTCCCTCCAACTGTCACAGGAGGGGCCCAAGAATCAGGGGTCACTCACCGCCATGACCAGCTCAAATGGGTACTTGTAGACACGAACAGGAGATTGGTATTTCTGCACCATGTTCGCACTGGAGCGCCAACGGAAGTCACCAGGCAGGGGTGAGCACAGAGCCTGGGGTGACAGGCGACTGGTGAGGTGGCAGCTCCCTCCACATGAGGCAGGGACACTGCCCACCACTGGGAAGGGTAGGCCCAGCCCCCCAGCCCCACCCACACATCTCCCCAGCCCTCTAGGTGAGAAGGCCAAGATGATCCCCAAATTACTCTGGTCAGGCCTCAGACACCTGTCCTGCCCCAGACCATGCTCACTCTCCCCAAGAACAGTCAGCACCCCAAATTTTCCTCCATCCCCATCCCTTCACAGAAGGCCCCAGGAGGCTCTGCCACCCCCACGAACACACACACATTTGCAGTTCCCACACTCCCACTACTCCCTTTGCGCATGCACCCACAGCTTGCCACACGTGTCCTGACCAGTAGTCTCCCCAAGTCTCCTTGCACCTGCCCTCCCACTTTCCTCCAAGACACCCTGGTGTACACACACTGCCTCCACCAAATTTCACAGGCACTGTCTCTGTCACACACACGCGCATATGCAGGCTCCCCTCCCACATGGGACCTCCCTTGCACACGCCCACAACTTTGCACACACACCCAGCTCCCGGGAGCACAAACCTGCCCAACTTCACACACGCTCGGTTCCCCTGGTGCGCACAGACGTTCACATATGCACACACGGCCATGCGTACATGCACATACACACACGTACACACACATAAAGGCACTCACACACGCATGCCCGCACCGGTCCCCGCAGCCCCGCTCACCCTCGCCCTCGCGGAGCCTCCGGGGACGCAGCCTAGGGGCCCCCGCTCTGGGTGCCCAGCCGGCTCGGGAGCTGAGCTCGCCGCCTGGCCCGGAGCGCAGAGCCTGGGGCGGGGCCCGACCGCCGCGGCTCAGCCTGGGGAGTCCCGCCCTGCACACCCTACGGCCCGGCCAGCCGGGGAGGCGCTGGAGGGGCTGGAGCGAGACCTGCGAGCGCTCCGCTCCAGGACCCGGGACAGCGAAGATCCTGGCCTGGCCCCGCCCCTGGACTGGCCCCGCCCATGCCGCCAGCCATGACCCGCCCACATTTGCCCCGCCCCTGATTGGTCCCGCCCCGGCCTGGCCCTGCCCAAGGCTGACTCCGCCCTAGTTCTAGCCCCTCCCCTTATCTTACAGGCGCCTTGCTTGGACCACGCCCTCGGCCCGGCCCTTCCTCCGGATTGGCCACGCCTCCATAAAGGCCCCGCCCCTATTCTGGCCCCGCCCCGAGCCCGCCCGAGAGTGGTTTGTGCACTCCGCGCACGTTCGCCAGCGCCTGCCAGGTGTCAGGCGCTTCCAGGCGCTGCAGCCAGCGGTGAGCACGGACGAAAGTCCCTGTCTTCGTGGAGTTCACGTTCCGGTGGGCGAGACAGACGTTGAATAATGAGGCAAATACACAGTACGCGGGACGGCGAAAATGCCAAGGAGAGGGGGACGAGCGGGACTATGTAGAGCAGGGGGGACGGGGCTCCCTGAGGGGACCTTAGCTCACGCCCGCCCCTTCCAGCCCCCCGGGTGCCGGGGCAGCCTCCCTCCCGCGCCCCGTCTGCGTGGCCCGCAAGCAGCTGCTCTGGGCAGCGTCATCCGTGTGTTCGTTCATCCAACCCTTACTGAGCACCTGCTGTATACCAGCAATGGGCGTCACGTGCGGGAGTCAGACGGAGCTCCTGCCCACAGGTGTGCGCGGGGAGAGGACGACCCTCCGGTGTGTGTCAGACACGCGGCCGCACCCTGTGACCACCTCCCGCTCCCTTCCCAGCCTGCGTCACATTCCGATCCTTGCGCTTATCGCTTTACTTATTTGTGCGTTGCTGACGGCTCTCCCGGGAGGCTGGAGCACCCGAGGGCGGGCCGTGGCTGCGCGCGTGCCCACGAGGATCCTGCTGGGGTCGCGGCAGGCAGGGACGCTCCCTGCGCGGTGGGTTAAGGGTGGCGCGGACGGAAACGGGACGCAACGTTCCCGTCCCTGCCACAAGGGGGCAGCAAAGGACAGCCCATGGCTCCTGGAACACCCGCACGCGGAGTCGTTGGGGGACATGGGTGCAGGGGCGTTTCCCCCAACCTGGGCCCGTCCAGGAGACGCCCAGTTCCGCCTGGGCGCCAGCAGGGCGCGAAGGGAGCGTCAACACTGTTAGCTGTTGTCACCGCGCCTCCCTTGCCCCCCAACCTTGAGGGAGGATGTGGTGGGGGGAGCGTCGGAGGAGGGCGTGACAGCCCTGTGGGCACAGAGAGCTCGAAGTGGAAACCGGGGCCCAGAGCGGGGTGAGGCTCTCCAGCAGCCCAAGGAAAGGGAATTATTAATAACCGCCTCCACCCACCCCAGGTTACCTATTATTAACACTGTTCTACTAATTATTCCTACCACTTCTGGAGCGCCCAGTTGGCACTCACTGGGCCTGGCACCATTCTAAAGCTTTACAGCATTAATCCTCAGAACAACCCCTGTAGTGATGAAAACTGTTTTGGAACTTGATAGAGGTCGTGGCTGCACAACTTCGGGAATGTACGGGAAATACCACTGAATCGTACGCATTGACATGGTTGATTTTATATTATATGAATTTCACCTCAATTAAAAACTTTCTGAGGTCAAAATCCTCATTTTATAGATAAGGAAACTACAGCGCAGAGAGGTTGAGTAACTTGCCCAAGGTCACGTAGCTAGTAAGGAACTTGAACCCAGGACTCTGCCTGTCCAATGCCTCCTTCCCCACAGGCTGCTGCAGAAGTGACAGGAAGATGTGACTTCCTGGCCTGAGCTGCAGCTAGGCACCTGGCCCCCAAATGAGAAGGCGCCAGGAGTGTGGCAGGTGCCGCAGCATGCTGGGGCGTGAAGTCAGTCCCAGCGTGGGCTCCGAAGCCTCTCTCTGCTGCTTCCCGCCTGCCCTGCAGGAACGACCCAGCCAAAGCTGCCCTGTGAGGAGGTGGGTTTGGGGAACCCCAGAAACCGCCCCACGTCTTTGAATACCTTCCCGGCAGACGGGCCACTGCCGTAGGAAATTCAGCCATTAGTAATGCCTTTATTTGCGTAGAACACAAGACCCAGTCCCAGCACAGATGCCCCCGGAAGGCATCATGCAGGGCAGTGTCCTTAGCTTGATGGCTCCGTGTGACACCAAGAACAGGTCGGGTAAGGAGGGGGTTGGGAGTGGGAGGACCCAGGCCCCAGGCCCTTGGGGGGACATGAGGGGCCCTTGATCTGGGCCGTGGGATACATAAGGGCCCTGGGATGTCGCTGAAGCTGGAGGGAGGGAGGCAAACAGGGTGAAGCCCCCGTTCTTACTGTGCCAAAATGCACATAACACAAAAGCTGCCATATTAACCATTTCTTAGTATACAATTCAGTGGCTTTTGGTACATTCACAAGGTTGTGCAACCGCCACCACTGTCTACTTTTGGAACATTTTTATCACCCCAAAAGGAAACCCACCCCCATTAAGCTGTCACTCCTCCTTCCTTCCCTCAGTGCCTGGCAACCACTCATCTGCTTATCTGCTTCCTGGACGACATCTCATTTGTCCTGGGGCTGCCTCTAATTCCTGTTCTTTCTTCCCTCTTCTCAGAACAGAGCCCAGAGGCCTCCTGGATTTGGGAGCCTCAAGGGCTATCATGGTGATTGGCAGGGCTGTTGTGTACAGGTGTGCAGGTTGTAAACTGCACAACTCTATGCAGCAGTCCTGGTCCCGGGGGCAGCTATGATTGAGCAGAGCCTGAGTCTGGGGGAATCTGACCCAGGGGACTACACACAGGTACCACCCACCTTGACCTGCAGCCTGGCCCCCAAGTCCATTCACTTCCACCAGGTGTGGCACATGGTCCAAAGCTGGAGGGTCCCTCAGTGTGGAGAGATGGGGGCTGGGGTGGGGGATGGTGGCCCCGGGGGGCTGGGGTGTCACTGTGGGCGGGGCTGGGTGGCAGAGCAGTCAGCAGCAGGTGCTGGAGACCAACCTGGATGTGAGTTCTGGCCCTGCCACCTCCCAGCTGGGTGGCTGCAGGGTCCCCTCCTTTAAAATGGGGTGACAGGGAACATCATTCGGCCTCAGGAAGGAATGAAGCTCCGACACGTGTTTCACCACGGGCGAAGCTGCGAGGCATGGCGCTCAGTGACAGAAGCCAGGCACGAAAAGGCAGGCACTACGTGATTCCCCTTATGTGAGTCGCCTACAGGACTCAAGTCCATGGGGACAGAAAGTGAACTGGTGGTTGCCAGGGGCTGGGAGGGCGCGGGGCAGGGAGTCATTTAGTGGACACAGAGTTTCGGTTTTACGGGACGCAAAGAGCTCTGGAGGCGGGCGGCGATGGTTGCACAACGTTGCGAATGCGCTTAATGCCGCTGAAGTGTGCACTGGAAACGGGTTTAAACGGTCAACGTTCGTGTATTTCACTGCGATTTTCAGAACCCCAAGAGCTGGTGTGCGCGCAGCGGTGCTTATAACTAACTGGTGACGACCAGCTGCAGATTCCTTTGTTCCTTCTCCGCTCCCATGGCTTCACTTGACCAGCCTAAAAAGAAAAAGAATCACACCAGAAACGTTTTTTCAACAATGGTGGCAGCCGTGGTGCTGTGCTGAGGGCCGGTGGAGGTCACATGAGGAAAGTCGCCCCGGGGCCCCCAGGGGGCCGTGGTGAATGTTCACGGTGTGGCAGCGCCTGGGAGTGGCAGCGCCTGGGAGGCAGCGCGTCTCCCGGGGCCTTCGTTGGGGCCGGGGCGTGGCGCTGGCGTTTGAGGCGGTGGCCGGCACAGCACAGGGAAGTGGCAGCTCTGCTCCTCGGAGCAGCGATTCGCCCATTTAAAGTGTACAGCTCAGTGGTTCCGGCAGACTTTCAGAGCGACCCCACCGTCCCCACAATCAACTTGAGCATTATCACCACCCGGACCCTTCGGCACTCACTCCCTGTCCCCTCCCCAGCCCTGGCAGCCACTCTCCACTTCTGGCCTCTGTGGATTTGCCTATTCTGGACTTTTCATGTAAACGGAGTCATGCAGTGTGTGTCCTCTGTGTCTGGCATCTGTCACTCCACGTGATGTTTTCAAGGGTCATCCGTGTTGTGGCGTGTGTCAGAGCTCCGTGCCTTTCTAAGGCTGGATAATGTCCTGTTACGGGGATGGACCACGTTTAGTTTATCGGTCTCGCACTGACGGACATGTGGCTGGATAAGTCTGTTTTAATGGTTGGATAAAAAGCATGTAGATAATGGGGAGGGTGGGCCAGACAGAAAAAACCTCCCAGGGAAGATCCCAGAGACCAGAAGGTGACGCTGTGTGTGAGCAGAGCTCTGGTTCTCACGGGGACTCTCCCACCTGTGTCCCTGGTCAAATCCAAAATCTGGAACCCCCCAACTTCTCTTGGATTTCAAAGACACCCCAAGAGGTACAGAGGCATGGAGTATCCCGTAAGGATGTCAGCTGGGAGCAGGACCGCCCCGCTGGCCTTGGGTGGCCCCCAGCACGCTGCCCACCCTCGGGGTAACTGGTTGGAGGTGTGCAGGGTGGAGGTGGCAGGAGAGCGGGTCAGGGTGTGGAAGGAGGGACCCACCCCCAGCCCCTGCTGCACCTCACCCATGGCCTTCCTCAGGCCCCAGAGCCCCTGCAGGGTGGAGAGAGAACTCCCGTGTTGGTTTCCTGTGGCTGCTGTCACAAATCACCGCAAACTGAGTGGCTTAAAAAGACAACTTGAACTTACCGTCTTACAGTGCTAGAGGTCGGAAATCTGAAATCGATCTCACTGGGCCAGTCTCGGTGCGGGCAGAGCTGTCCCCTTCAGGAGGCCCGAGGGAGACCCCGTGTCCTGGCCTCATTCAGCTCTGGAGGCCGCCTGCAGAGGAGGGGACGGTCACCACTGCAGCCGCAGCCCCTGCCCAGGGAGTGACCACCGAGGAGGCCTGCAGAGCTGTCCCCAGCTGGGGCATGGCGGGGGCGGGGTTTGCAGCCCCAACCGGCCCAGT